TTTCATAACATTTGGTTGAGGCAAACTTAAGTTAGAAAACGGAAACTAGAAATTTTGCAATTTTTCCATTTATAAAGGGGCATAACGCTAGAACGGTTAATGTGACGCCACCAAAATTCAAGCTTGATCTGTGTTTTGTGGTAATAAGCATTGTGTATAGTTTCATAACATTTGGTTGGGGCAAACTCAAGTTAGAGAACGGAAACCAATTTTGGGACATACGGACGGACGTACGTACAGACGGACAAGGGTAAAACTTAATGCCCCCACCGCTACGGCGGGGGCATAAAAATACAGTTATAAACGGTAACTAATTCTGCAATGGTTTCTTCCATTCCTTTCTCTGTTACAGACACATCTAATGAAATCATATATTGCCCTCAGAATGTCTTTTTTGGATTCATTGTGGTTCTTGGGTAGCTGTCTCATTTATGCATACCCAATATCTGCTTTCATCATAAAATTAATAGACAATATATGTTATGTTTATGTATAGCTTGTCAAATTGTATAGAAAACTGTCTAATTAAGACAGCATGTTGCCCTATTGATGAATTTGTTAATTTTTGTTGCTGTTTCATTGACATTTAGCGGAACATCCCTTTTTGATTGATATCCAATTATTACCATTAGACAAGTTAGTTACATAATATCTCTTGGGAAGAGAACAAATATGGTTTCCACACAATACCTTTTCTTAAAGTTGCATGTATTTATCATCGTTTGACATAAATTTTCTACCCATTTTACAGTTTTTTTAACCAACACTGAAAAAAAAACCTATCACAATAAAATTTTGTTTGACTACAAATAAATTTTAAGATTGAGACTTCTTGTTTTAAGAGCCCATGCACTTCTGTAACTTTTTGACAATGTGTTTTACCCAACAGAGATATCTCTGTAACTAGTTCTAGTCCAGCATGTAACGGTACTTAATTCTTTCATAGGATACAAAAAGTAATAACCTTATTACAAACAATATATATATGACATCATAATGTTTACAGTGATATTGTTAGAGTCCGTAAATTTAGATAGACTCATGTAAACTTATGGATCATTTGAATTATACAGTTATCTTTAAAGGATATCAGTTTAACATTGTAAAAAGATCTATGAATATTGCCTTTACTGGTACTAACATTGATTTTGTTTTTAATAAATTAAACATAACTAGATATGTCTTGATATACAGTAATGAACACTTATGGTCCTACATCCTGTTAATACTTATATTTTGACATTTCACACGGTCATGTCAGACAGATAACCCAGTGTTTATCAGCACCTATTTTTAATCAAAACATCATCCTTTATTCTAATTTAAAATCTTTCTTCATAATATAGAATTTTTAATAAACTCTTAATTTTTGATAATTCTCTGTTCATGTCTTCTTACAGTTAACTTGTAAAACAAAAAGAAATATTTTTTTGAACATAAAAACCACGAAAATATGACCTGGTGAATAAATAACTAGTATAAGATTTTCCTTAAATTTTAAATATTGCAACTTATTAGCTACTTGACACAATTTGAAGCTTTTTATCTTGTTTTCTATGTTTTTTATTGTGTAGGCTTCATACTTTCACTCAAAACTGATATTATACAATATCAATATGCAGAAAACTTGAAAATTGTTGTAAACATGTTAAATCTTAACAAGCCATTACAATAATGCCATGAACTCTACCTATCTTAACAGGCCATTACAATAATGTCATGAATTCTATCTATCTTAACAGGCCATTACAATAATGTCATGAACTCTACCTATCTTAACAGGCCATTACAATAATGTCATGAATCCTACCTATCTTAACAGGCCATTACAATAATGTCATGAACTCTACCTATCTTAACAGGCCATTACAATAATGTCATGAATTCTATCTATCTTAACAGGCCATTACAATAATGCCATGAATTCTACCTATCTTAACAGGCCATTACAATAATGTCATGAATTCTATCTATCTTAACAGGCCATTACAATAATGTCATGAACTCTACCTATCTTAACAGGCCATTACAATAATGTAATGAACTCTACCTATCTTAACAGGCCATTACAGTAATGTCATGAACTCTACCTATCTTAACAGGCCATTACAATAATGTCATGAACTCTACCTATCCTAACAGGCCATTACAATAATGTCATGAACTCTACCTATCTTAACAGGCCATTACAATAATGCCATGAATTCTATCTATCTTAACAGGCCATTACAATAATGTCATGAACTCTACCTATCTTAACAGGCCATTACAATAATGTCATGAATCCTACCTATCTTAACATCTACCTATCTTAACAGGCCATTACAATAATGTCATGAACTCTACCTATCTTAACAGGCCATTACAATAATGTCATGAATTCTACCTATCTTAACAGGCCATTACAATAATGTCATGAATTCTACCTATCTTAACAGGCCATTACAATAATGTCATGAACTCTACCTATCTTAACAGGCCATTACAATAATGTCATGAATTCTACCTATCTTAACAGGCCATTACAATAATGTCATGAACTCTATATAACTTTTAGTTTTTCTATCATTGGATGGCTGTCAAATAAACAAATACTCAACTAATTTGTTCTTCTTGACATGGAATCTCCTGTAATTATAAATCTTTGCTATGGTTGTCTTAAAGCACAGAGAGTGGCCATGGATGCCGGCTTGACTTACAGAAGTATGAAATCATATTCATAAAGACATGCATTGTAGAAACATTTTTCTTGGGATATAAATAATCAAAACTGATTTATTAACAAGCATTCTGAGAGTATTGCATGAGTCCCCTACCGGTTAAAAATTCATTGTACTGGAACAACTAACTTGATCTATAACTTGTCATGGTATTAAACTATACAACGAATATCAAATCAATATTTTCAAGCATGACGAAAAAGAGTGTGGAAAACTGATTATTTGTATGAATTTTCTAAGTCCAAGGACCATAAAGCTGCAAAAAAATCATCCAAACCAAACAAAATTCGTACTTGATCTGTAACTTGCCATGGTAAAACTACATACCAAATATCAAATCAATATATTCAAGCATGACGAAAAAAAAGTGTGGAAAACTGATTTCTTGCATGAATTTTCAAAGTCCAAGGACCATTACTCTGCACAAAAACATCAGACTGGAACAAAATTCAAACTTGATCTGTAACTGGTCCCGATAAAACTATATACCAAATATCAAATCAATATCTTCAAGCATGAAGAAACAAGAGGCTCTCAAGAGCCTGAATCGCTCACCTGTATTTCAGAGGAGAAGATTTTTAAATGTTAGCAAACTTGATAAACAAATTGTGTAAAATTGTCTTTAAAGGGCAATAACTCCTTAAGGGGTCAATTGACAATTATGGTCATATTAACTTTTTTGTAGATCTTACTTTGCTGAACATTATTGCTGCTTACAGTTTATATATATCAACAAAAAACTGCAAAATTTTGTTAACACTACCAATTCGGTGGCAGCAACCCAACAATGGGTTGTTCGATTCGTCTGAAAATTTCAGGGCCGATAGATCTTGACCAATTTAACAATTTTACCCCTGTCACATTTGCTCTAAAAGATTTAGTTTTTGAGATATAAGCCAAAAACTGCATTTGACCCTTATGTTCTATTTTTAGCCATGGCAGCCATGTTTGTCGATGGATACAAACTTCGGATACAATTTATAAACAAGATACCCTAAGGAACATTTAGTTCAAGTTTGGGGGTAATTGGCCCAGTAGTTTCAGAGGATAAGATTTTTAAATGTTAGCAAACTTGATGAACAAATTGTGTAAAATTGTCTTTAAAGGGCAATAACTCCTTAAGAGGTCAATTGACAATTATGGTCATATTAACTTTTTTGTAGATCTTACTTTGCTGAACATTATTGCTGCTTACAGTTTATATATATATCTATAATAATATTAAAAAAAAAAACAAAAAACTGCAAAATTTTGTTAAAACTACCAATTCGGTGGCAGCATCCCAACAATGGGTTGTTCGATTCGTCTGAAAATTTCAGAGCTGATAGATATTGACCAATTGACCAATTTTACCCCCATGTCAGATTTGCTGTAAAAGCTTTAGTTTTTGAGATATAAGCCAAAAACTGCATTTGACCCCCTGTGTTCTATTTTTAGCCATGGCGGCCATGTTTGTCGATGGATCAAAACTTCGGATACAATTTATAAACTAGATACCCTAAGGAACATTTAGTTAAAGTTTGAAGGTATTTGGCCCAGTAGTTTCAGAGGAGAAGATTTTTGAAATAGTTTACGACGACAGATGACGGACGCCAAGTGATGGCATAAGCTCACATGGGGCCCTTCGGGCCCCGGTGAGCTAAAAAAGTGTGGAAAACGGATTGCCGGATTGACAGACAGACAGAGTGCAAATCTAAAGTCCCCATCGATTTCGTCGGTAGGGGACTTATAAGTGAAAAGTAGTGCCAATTCATCATGTTCATACTAAGATTATCAAGTTATCACGACTAATATAAATTTTATAAATATCAGACACATGACTTAGTATCTGATGAAATCATAAATATTTTTATCCCACCTTCCATTTATTAAATTTTTAATTTCAACATGACTCATAATGATAACCCTGCTCCTAAGAAGAGTTGTATACTGTTGTACCACTGTTCATCGGGGAACTTCATCCATCCTTTTGTGTGTCTGTCTATTGGTAACACACATTTTTTAGCAACTTATAAAAAATCCTCTTGATATATATAGCAAAGTAGTCAACAACATCTTACAGGGGTATAATAACAACAACATCTTACAGGGGTATAATAACAACAACATCTTACAGGGGTATAATAACAACAACATCTTACAGGGGTATAATAACAACAACATCTTACAGGGGTATAATAAGGGATGAATAGCTGACTGTTCATCATGTTCTTAAAATGAAAAACAACATAAAGGTAATTTCAAAACAACTAGAACATTAATGAAAACAAAAATTCTATATTGAATTTCTGTGCTTTTAAACCAGAAATATTTATTGGTTCTGCATATACATGTATACAATTATATAGTCCTATACAATATTTACTAGTTGTCTGGCCTGTGTTTCAGAAAAGGTTGTACAATTTACAGCACATCATACATTTTGTAGTTTGTATTGATTTTGAAGTTTTATTGTCAGAAGTTGTACTAACATCCATTAAATACCAGTTATTATAATTAGCCTGAGCAAACTGAACATGTCATCACTGGTCATAATTCATATGAGATTTTATGAACCACATGCTCAGTCCATAATTTAATTCTAAATTTCTAACGTTCAAGCAAACAGCTTTTTTTTTAACTCAATAAACAAGAAGTTTTTTACTATTCAAAATTTTAATTTTTTAAATTAAAAACAAAATCAGCTTACTTTGGCCAACAAAAAAAGCCACATGACATTTACAAAAATTCTGTAAAAAAATGCAATATACACTAATTTCCCTATGATTTCATTAATCAGCTGTATGTCATTTTCTTCTGGACTTCCTCACTTAAATGACTTCCATCGCAGAATGGTCTGTTATTTGTTTGTTTACACATACAAAGCCAATACTTCTTACTTTCTGTAACTTCAAAGCGGGTAGGTTTGAAGTGGACAACTTTTGCTCTGGGATTTGTCATTCTTATGATTTCTTTATGAGATCCATCACAGAATGGCTGGAATAGAAATAATTTCTGTCAGGATATATTCATGTCAAAAATATGCAATCAAACACACATCTAATATAAATAAGAAGATGTGGTATGAGTGCCAATGAGACAACTATCCATCCAAGTCACAATGTGTAAAAAGTAAACAATTATAGGTCAAAGTACGGCATTCAACACCGAGCCTTGGCTCACACCGAACAGCAAGATATAAAGGGCCCCAAAAAAACTAGTGTAAAACAATTCAAACAGGAAAACCAATGGTCAAATCTATATATAAAACGAGAAACAAGAAACACTTATGAACCACACCAACAAACGACAACCACTGAACATCAGGTTCCTGACTTAGGACAGATACATAAAAAATGCAAGGTTATATTTTGATGTACTGTGGATTCATTATTATTTGGGGGATACCAGTGTTACTGGATTTTGTGGTTATAGGTCAACTACAAATTTAAATGGTTAACGTAGTACAAATTACTTTGAAGCTTGTAACCAGACTCTGATAAAACCACAAAGTCAAATATCCAAGAAAATACAATTTTTCTTCAATCCATGAAAATTGGTACCATGAAAATAATAGAATCCACATTATTGATAAATAGTTCCACTGATAAGAAATGGTGATTTTTTTTCCCCTTTGTTTTTGTAGTCTATTATACCATTCAGCGTTTTAAAAATGCTTTTCTGTTCTGATTTTTCTTTTATGATGTATAAAATGAAATGTTACTGGTATATTTCAATGAGACAGCTACTAAACAACACAAAACCCCTCACAACATTTAGAGGTCAACATACACACTTCTCATTATATTTCCTAACAAGAATGAGTCCATAGTACAATGTTTAATTTATTCACAACTTTTTTAGACCAAGGGTATTATAAAGCTTTACAAGTTATAATACCTATGGTCTTTTCCTGAAGACTATAAATTGACCTCTGAATGCCCTATAATTTTTTAAGTTGTTTTGGTTTCTGACTCACTGAGGTATATCCATCATTTATTATTCATATCTAGATGTTATTTGGTTGTTTGAGTTGTTTTGTTACTATTTGATTGAGGTATATCTCACATTTATCATTCATATCTCCAGATATCATTTGGTTGTTTGGTTGATGTCTCACTGAGGTATATCTCACATTTATTATTCATATTTCTAGATATCATTTGGTTGTTTGGTTGCCGTCTCATTGAGGTTTATCTCACATTTATTATTCATATCTCTAGATATCGTTTGAGTTGTTTGGTTGCAGTCTCACTGAGGTATATCTCACATTTATTATTCATATCTCTAGATATCATTTGGTTGTTTGGTTGCTGTCTCATTGAGGTTTATCTCACATTTATTATTCATATCTCTAGATGTCATTTGGTTGTTTGGGTTGTTTTGTTTGGTTGCTGTCTCACTGAGGTATATCTCACATTTATTATTCATATCTCTAGATTTCATTTGGTTGTTTGGTTGCTGTCTCATTGAGGTTTATCTCACATTTATTATTCATATCTCTTGATGTCATTTGGTTGTTTGGGTTGTTTTGTTTGGTTGCTGTCTCACTGAGGTATATCTCACATTTATTATTCATATCTCTAGATATCATTTGGTTGTTTGGGTTTTTTTGTTTGGTTGCTGTCTCACTGAGGTATATCTCATATTTATTATTCATATTTCTAGATGTCATTTGGTGTTTGGTTGCAGTCTCATTGAGGTTTATCTCAAATTTATTATTCATATCTCTAGATGTCATTTTGTTGTTTGGGTTGTTTTGTTTGGTTGATGTCTCACTGAGATATATCTCACTGAGATATATCTCACATTTATTATTCATATCTCTAGATGTCATTTGGTTGCTCACATTTATTATTCATATCTCTAGATGTCATTTGGTTGTTTGGGTTGTTTGGTTGCTGTCTCATTGAGGTATATCTCATGTTTATTATTCATATCTCTAGATGTCATTTGGTTGTTTGAGTTGTTTAGTTGCTGTATCATTAACCTATATATAATCTATATTCATTTATATGAATCATTATGTGAATAGCAATGATCATGTGTTGTAAAAGACTCTATAACAATTGGCTTAATTTATGTGATGCAGTATAAGAAAAAATAGCTCTTATACATATTGATAACTTTTTTGTTTTTTATTGGACAATATTATCCCTCTTTCTTATTTATACAATAATCAAATGTACAAAGAAATATATGACAAGTGTTCACAAACAGGTTTACAATTATTATCCAGGAAAACATAATTTTATAACTTTATACACAAAATACTTGTTTGATTGTTTTGCTATTTATTGAAGTTTGATGTATAGAACTCCTGTGGCTGCTGTAATAACAGTTATAAACCTCTGCTAGGAGCATAAAGTAAATAAAAATGAAATAAATAATTAATTTTGCATAATAACTCAAAAAACTATCAGCCAAAAAAGTGGCTATTTAGTTATTAGAGTATAATAATCAATATTTGATATCTTACGAAAGAAATTATTTCAGGTTATTTGAGAAAAAAGATGCACTGCATTTTAATATTATCATATTCATAATATAGTTAACCACCACTCAAATATATCCAAGATTTAATTTCATTCTCTTTATGTATGCTTATATTCAAGGGGAGGCAACTCTACATTTATAAAATTATAGAAATAATATAATTCAGTATTTCATGTATTTATTTTTGCATTTTGTAGTGTAATTTTGATGTTCTGTGGTATATGTATATCTAAGTTGTTTTATTGTATTTGTTTGTAGTTCTTTAGTATAATTTGGCTGTTCTGTGGTATTCTGTGTTGTTCTGTGTTGAAAAGACATTCCTTATATAAATAAGAAGATGTGGTATGAGTGCCAATGAGACAACTTTCCATCCAAGTCAAAATGTACAAAAAAGTAAACAATTATAGGTCAAAGTACGGCCTTCAACACAGAGCATTGGCAGTTAGGAGTACAGAAACATTTTTTACAAAATAAATAAATTTGTTGTTCACAGTACGAGTACAGAAGTGAAAAATTATCGTCATACTAAACACTTATCGAAGGTGGTACATATTAAAAATAGTGAGACGAGATATAACACAAAATAAGTAAACATTGAATAACAGAAATGCATTACAAATTGCGTCAACAGGTCAAATTAACACAAAAGTACGATTTGAGAGTACTCGCAGTTACTGAAAGCTAGTTAAAAGCCAAAAACAATTAATAATAAAAAATCATGCATCAGACACTACAATCAATTAAAACACATCCCAGGGATTTAGTATTTTAACGCCATGGACAGTCAAAGAAGACATGACTTGTGCAATGCCAAAATAAAAGTATCGACAGGCAGTAGGATAGTTAGGATTTAACCTTATAATAAATATGTTTCATGCTATATATAGATAAAGCAATCTCTAAATAGAAAATAAACGTGGATGTGTATTTATACATCCCTAAAACCATTCAAAAAGAATACAAATTAAAATATGTTTTAATTTGTTGATGACAAAATCGATGTTAGTGCCAATGTAAACAATATTCAAAGATCTTATTACAACATTAATCAAATAACCTTTACTAATAAGTTTGTTTAAAGGTTCGATGAGTTTACACGGATCACATAGTGATTTCTGCGCTTTTAGTACAATATTACCTTAAAATTTAGGATGTGAAATACCGTGTTTAATAAGTTTTCTACAGGTACAGCCAAATGTACATCACTACACACACGGCATAACGAACAAGTTGGGATATATAAACAACGTATGATGGAGCAAAAGGAACATCGCTGTTTAAAAAAGGAAGATTAACGATAGGGAATGAGAAATCGTCTCTTTTGTCGTAAATTTTAGTATGGAGTTTCCCTTTAGAAATTGAAATGTCTAAATCTAGAAAAGGACAACTACTGCTGTTCACTCGTCAAGATAACGGTAGGAATTGTTGAATGTGTCAACCAAATGTAACAATGACGTGTCTTTACAGAGTTTGGCCATAAACTGTGATTTCATAGCAATACAGGAATAAATCTGCTATTAAAGGGGCCCAATTAGTGCCCATAGGAATACCTACTACCTGTCGATACACTTTATCGCCGAAACATACATAGCTTGTTGTGACATCTCCCTACCTATTTGCCTTAGAAACAGATCACCCTTTGAGGAAGATCAATTTCTACTTTACTGAATACAATCTTCCTTTAAAACAGAATAATTGTATATTTTTACTGTGTTTTAAAGTAGTTATCTTTTAACATCATAAGCTAATTTAATATATTTTTTTCATATTTTAAAATGTTTTCATTGTGAGTATCAGAAACATCTTGTCAATGACCTGAGATTTTTTCCAACATCTCATGGACGGTTACAGAAATATCTTGACCACTCACCTGAGATTTACTGAAACCAAAAGTCATGGACAGTTACAGAAACATCTAAACCACTCACCTGAGATTTACTCCAACCACAAGTACACCATGAATATTTCTTCCCAGCTTCTAATTCAATGGGAAATGGCTTTTTATCATAAATAGCACCTTTTCTGGGTGGATTATCATATTCTCCATATTTGGGAGTTTCAGGATGTTGGTCTGTATTTTTACTGTTACATCTTCTTTGGGGTATCTGTCAATGAAAGATTTTTAAATACAAATTAAATGACTTAGAACCAACGTCCATTGTATTAATACTATCAAATAAACCAGCGTGGGACATTTGCGCTTTTTGATAGGACATTTGAGCTTTTTTTAAAAGACATTTGTGGTTTTTTTACAGGACATTTGGGCTGTATAACATAATATTTCAGTTATCATGATTAAAAGTTTAAAAATCAGCTAATATTTTCAAAAAAAACAAGCACATTCATTTTATATCTATACAGCTTAAAATTGTCCTTTTCTTTCTTTAGTTGTTGGGTTACTTTTCCACTGACCAATTGCAATTGAGGATTCTTCTGTTTTTGGGGAAAAATTAATTTCAATAAGTCCATGAGAATTTTGAAAACTACATATTATTCAGCAAGTGAAAAGAAAATAAATGTGGATAGTGTCCACATGTGGACACAGATGATGCCCCCGGTTGCATATCATATAGTTATAAAGGGACATAACTGAAGAACTTTAAAAGTGACGCTACCCAAATTTGAACTTGATCTGAGTTTTGTGGTAATAAGCATTGTGTGTAAGTCTTATCACCTTTGGTTGAGGCTAACTTTAGTGGAGAACGGAAACTTAAAATTCAGCAATTTTTCTATTTGTAAACACTCACTCTAGAACGGTTATGTGTAAAATTTTTATAACATTTGGTTGAGACAAACTTAAGTTAGAGAACGGAAACGAAAAATTCAGCAATTTTTATGTTTATAAAGGGACATAACTCAAGAATGGTAAAAGTGTTGCCACCAAATTTCGTACATAATCTGTATTAAGTAGTAATAAGCATTGTGTATAAGTTTCATAACATTTGGTTGAGGCAAACTAAAGTTAGAAAACGGAAACAAAAAATTTGTACTTGATCTTAGTTTTGTGGTAATGAATATTGTGTACAGGTTTCATAGTGTTTGGTTGGGGCAGACTTAAGTTACAGAATGGAAACTAAAAATTTTGTATTCTTTCGATTTATAAAGGGGCATAACTCAATAATGGTTAAAGTGACACTACCCAAATTCAACTTGATCTGTGTTTTATCAGTGGAAGTCAAAATTAAACATTGTTTGTATAAAGCATTGATTGTAGTTGATTCAACTATAATCATGGACAAAGGAAGATAACTCCAATTTTAATAAACTGTTACTACAGAGATATGTCTTGCCTATTTTTAATTTTGATAATGCAAATGTTGAAATTAAAATAGCAATACTTTAACATGTAAGTTATGCAAATATTCAAAGTCGATGAACCATGACTGAAGGTACATGGCTAAACAATCTCCATGGAATGAGATGTGCCAATGCTCATACAACTGCATACCAAATACCATTGACTTATTATAAGTCGTTCCCTTTAAACAAACCTAAACACAAACATTAACTTGTAAACTATGTAAAAGTTTCAAAGTCAATGAACCATGATCAGGGGTGGGGCTATATAATCTCCATGGAAATGATACTTGCAAATGCCAATAAATTTGCATACCAAATATCATTGACTTAACATTAGCAGTTCATCTTAAACTCATCTAATCACAAACTAATACATGTAAACTAAGAAAAAGTTTCAAATTAAATTGCCCATGACTGAGGGGGTGGGGCCAAATATTCTCCATGGAAATGAGATGTGCTAATGCTTATACAACTGAACACCAATTAACATTGGCCTACCACTAATGGTTCCCATTGAACTGACCTAATCACAAACTAATACATGTTAACTTAGCAAAATTTTCAATGTTAACTTAGCAAAATTTTCAAAGTCTATAGACCATGACTAAGGGGGGTGGAGCCAAATAATCTCCATGGAAATGAGATATGCCAATGCTTATACAACTGTATACCAAATATCATTGACCTACCACTAGTGGTTCCCCATAAATTGACCTAATCACAAACTAATACATGTAAACTATGAAAAGTTTCAAAGTCAATAGATCTTGACTGAGGGGACGGGGCCAAATAATCTCTATGGTAATGAGATGTGCCAATGCTAATACAACTGCATACCAAATATCATTGACCTACCACTAGTGGTTCACCATAAACTAGACCTAATCACAAATTAATACATTGTTGACGCCGCCGCCGCCGGAAACAGCATACCTATGTCTCGCTTATTGACTCCGTCAAGGCGAGACAAAAATTACTAGATATTTAGAAGAAAATAAAAATTTTGCAACTTTTCCATTTACAAAGGGGCATAACTCTAGAACAGTTAAAGTGACGCATCCAAAATTCAAACTTGATCTGTGTTTTGTGGTAATAAGCATTGTGTATAAAAGAGGGACAAAAGATACCAGAGGGACAGTCAAACTCATAGATCGAAAAAACAAACTGACAACGCCATGGCCAAAAATAAAAAGACAAACAGACAAATAATAGTACAGATGATACAACATAGAAAACTAAAGACTAAGCAACACAAACCCCACCAAAAACTGGGGGTGATCTCAGGTGTTATAAGTTTCATAACATTTGGTTGAGGCAAACTTAAGTTAGAGAACGGAAACTAAAAATTTTGCAATTTTTCCATTTATAAAGGGGCATAACTCTAGAACGGTTAAAGTGACACAACGTACGTACAGACGGACAAGGGTAAAACTTAATGCCCCCACCGCTACGGCTGGGGCATAAAAATGTCTTTTATTTGAAAAAATCAAGTTACCGTACTCTATTTTGTGATTTTTTTTTTACTGTGTTACATATAACCATAAAACGTTCAAAAATTTTGATATCACTACTTGCCAAAAAAGATATAAATTCTGAGTATTCACAAAGATATATAACATGTATAATTGCTTCTTTTTATTAGAGATAAATGCTTTAATATGAAATTTCACATCCAACATTCCAACACCTCCAAAGTCTGAATTACTAAATATTTCTCCTTATAACAGCAATGAATCTTTCTTCAAAGTCAACATGAACAGCAGGGGGTTAAAAAAAATTATTTGGGTCTCCACAAATTGAAACAATCTCAGAGAAACTATGATGGAAGAGTTTCTCTGGCTTTCAAGACTATAGAATGAACATACGAGGAATATAGTTTCAATTTTTGCCATCCCTTGACTTTGACCATAAAATTCATAAAATCATATTTGATCATATTTAATTTAGACAAAACAATATTTGATTGCATTTGTGTTTGAATAAAAATTTTAATATATTAATACAAAGCTGATTGTAGTAAGGCATTAATCATAATAATCAATATTTTATCAACATAAAAGACCAGGATACAAACCAAACAATGTAGACTGACAGGCCTACCAGACTGTGCCTGATGTGAAGAGTCTGATTAGACGTTGGCATTGATGAAAAGTTGAAAACTAGAACCTAAGTCCTGTGACTAGACATGACTAGATTCAGTTGTTCTCGACTCATATTTTTGAAAAGGATATATAGAAATATAAACATGATAAATCAAATTCTGTTCTATAGTTTTAATTCATTTTGTTCATTTAATCAATCTAAAATGCAAAAAAGGATAATGAGGGGCCTGATGGGTTATTTTCGTTCTTCTTGATCGTCGCATTTTCGCTATCGTGATCCGTTTTCCTACAGATTTATTTTTCGTGATTCGTGATGAAAGCATTGTTCGTGAATCGTTTTCATTGGAGTTTTTTGTTCGTTCTTCGTGATTGAGACATATATTTCGTTCTCGTGATTTTTTTTTCCATTACAGAAATAAAGAGTTCCATTGAGTTGTCTTTCTTGGCTTAATAAGTTGAAGTGGCGCGATAGTTTTAAAAGTGCAATTAGGTCATTTTTTTAGTGCAAACACGGCAGCCCTCATGGCTGAGAGTCATGGCAATAACATGTATTTATAAGGTCGATCCAGCCATCAGTCGATCCGGCCCCATGCAGTTGATCCGACCCCACTGTTGATCCGACCCTATTTTAAAGTCGATCCTGCCACATCTATGAATATTTATATTAAATATATATGCCATATATATATATACTTGAGTCATGCCCGTACACGGCCCTTTCTGGGATTTAAAAAAAAAATCCTAGTTTTTTTTGTGTTGAAACCCAGTTACCCCAACAAAATGCACACCCCTAAAGTTTTAGGTATGGTACACGCACCCCACCCCTCTTTTTTGAAAAATTATGTGTATGGGCGTGTGAAGTTTAATTATTTTTTGGACATTTTTTTGATATAATGTTTTATTGAAAATTTTGATAATACGATTTTGTAGCACAAAGAGAAGGAATTTAGTGGTTTTTCCCCCGAACATTATACAATTTCTTGTGTTTGAAATACGCGACGTTGGTCGTTAAAAGTAATTGTATTTTTTTAATCTCCTCAATTAATTTTATCGTATAAACCGCCCGTTTCTCGATTAATTGATAAAAAAACTTAATTATTTTTTGATAATATTTATGTTTACTACAAAAATATTTTATGCATTAAGCAATAACCATGCAAAAATGCAACTTACAGTGCCACAAGTGAACAAATCACATTTCCTTCAATATGTGAAGAAGGTAACAAGGACTACGATCAGGTTTCTGAATATGATTTAAAATCAGATGTGGACGACACTGAAGAAACGGACAATGCTATTGACACCCCAGAATGTCTTAGTTTTCTTCAAGGGACAACCAGCAGGAGTGGGAGAACAATCAGGCTCAGCAGTAAATTTTATTGATAAAATAAATATATATACTATATAGTCTCTGAGTTTAGTCTCAAGATAAAACACAGACGTGGTTCCGTGGTATTTTACGCCAGTAAAACACTTCTATGAAATATTATATGATACAATACAAGAAGTCAGATTGTGACTGTTTTTAACAATTTAATTTAGAACCTGGGAGAATTCAACACGTAAACAAGTAATGAGCCAGTAATGTATTTGATTGCAGCTTAATTGAACCAGTCTATGTACAAGGTATCCGGTCGTTCCGTCCCCAAACCGATCCGGCCCCTAGTCGATCCGGCCCAAAGTCGATCCGTCCCAAGTCGATCCGGCCCACGTCGATCCGGCCCAAAGTCGATCCGGCCCCATAATAAAATATGAATAAACTATATTGACTTTGGAGGATTTTAACAGTATAAATGGATTTTGCAAAAAGTATCGATGATGGATGACAACAGGTAAGTGAAGTATTGGTGTACCACATAATAGCTAAATAAATATTTACAGTCCAATGGAACCTATAAAATTTAACTCATAATATAATGACTTGTTTAATCAAATCATTTGTCTATAATTGGTTTGTTTATTCAACAAAAACAAAGTTTGTATGTATCAGCTTGGGGATCGGCTTGTACCGTTGTGTATGTAACTATTTGTTATTACACAGGATGAAAGACTTGTTAAGATCACAGTCAATTGAAAGAAAATGCTAATTACTGCTGATTAATGTTGATGTCTGTTGATTGTACTAAATTCTGTTATATACGTTTTTATTATAATTATACCCAATATTCTTGAAAACTTGTAATGAAAACATAATCAACCTACTTGTTTTATACTCATCTAAAGAAAATATTTGTCAAAGGCCATTTTTTTTACCGTACACCTTTTACATTTTAATAAAATTCATAAACATTTATGAATTACAATTAATATATATCTTTATTTTTATTCCTTATAAATATATTTTTTATTGGGGCCGGATCGACTTTAAATATGGGCTGTATCGACGTTGGGCCGGATCGACGTGGGACGGATCGACTTGGGCCGGATCGACGTGGGGCCGGATCGACATGAAAGCTATGTACAACACAAACAACCAGCTTCTGAATCTCTATTATCGAGATTGATTGGGGATACTCTTTTTATATTTTCGTGATCAGTGATCATGGAAATTTATTTTCTGTGAATCGTGATTGACAAAAAAATCATCTCGTGAATCGTGATGAGACCCCCCCATCAGGCCCCTCGATAATATAAAGGTTTTTTATTTTGGACAAGTTACAATTCCATTCGGACAAGTAAGTTTTGGTATGTACTTGTCCTATTGGGCAAGTTGAAAAAAAAAGTTATTGTAGAGGTCTGCCACACACTTGTATATTTAATTACAGAACGTATGATGATAAATAATAGAAACATTCACCAATAAACTTCAAGAGCTCATCAGGTAGAGACTGTCTGTGTATGTATGTATGTATGTAGATCCCTCCATTTACGGAGCACCCCTTGAGAGCTGCGAGGTTACAGTGGAATCCGTGTACACTCCCTATCGGGAACAATGGAGATGTGTCACTAACAAATTTACAATGTTCAATATTTACAAGGACAATCCCCACCCCAACACCAGGGAGTGTAAGGACACCGGGCAGATCTGTTATTATGGTGGAGGAAGCCAAAGTACTCGGAGAGAACCACCGGGCTGCTCGGCGGGAACAGACAAACCGAAGAGATATCAGCAGATTGATCTCCAGGTCAAAGTCGGGAGCAACTTTGACCAACCAAGGCCCCCATAGTACCCATTCTAGTTTAAACTCTGGTCTGGGTACCAGAGATGTGTGCGAGATGGTGAAAATCACCCTTCTGATGTACTGATATTTTTAGCACCCCGAGTGAGAATCGAACTCGGGACCTTCAGCACTGTAGCTATCGGTCTTAACCACTAGACCACGAAATCACATATTATGTTATATAATTATAAATCAGGGCGACCGGGAAGCGGGGCGTAACGACCCAGATTCTATATCATCAACCTAAAAATATTCCATGATCACTATTGTGGTTATTGCAAAATAATGATTGTGTACTATTTGTATGTTTACATGTATCTGCAATGTGCCCAGTGTTCTAAAACAATACAAATCTACCTGCTTAACCGCAAATAAGTTGTTAAACGATAGGCCAGATCGAAAGCGACTGAGCGCAGACATATTGATGTACTGCATAAAATATGTTCAAAATAAAAGAAAATCAATATAAAAAGTTAAATTAAAATACGTAGATGTATTTTTTAAATTCCATTATATTTCCTTTTATATAGAATTGCTGATTAATAAAATTCATTTATTATTGTTCAACCAAATTCTTTGATGTATTTACTGCGGACCTGTTTTGTTGCCATACATCCTTGACAACACACAAAGTAATCAAGGGAAACAGCCTGGCTAACACCAAAACACACTAACAGGTTATACAGATCAAAGTAAAGTGATATAGTGAATAACAACAGAAGACAAAATGAGTCAAAGACAAGTGTTGCAAGGTAATTGTTTTTGAAATATTTGTTTACAATACGTTTTGACTTTTGACAGTTTTGTATATATATGTATTTTTTTTTTTGAAGAAAATCGATTAACTTTTACCAGCACTGCAGCAGCCAACATTTTTACATTGAATAAATAAGTAAAATAATAGAAATAAGGTTCATATGCAGGGTGAAATGAATGGGATATATTTCGAAGAGACAATATCCATCCCAAAATTTAAATGAATTCAAGTGCATATAAACATATATGTCATATGACAGGTACATGTATATTTTATTATTATTAACATTATAAAAAGATCTAAAAAAAAACTCTTTTGCCTGATTTTTGGCAAGAGATTTTATTTTAGGATAAGAGAGGGGTGGAACATATGTAAATGCTCTTTTGTTCCGACGTTGGAAAGTTCTGGGCGGAAATAACTAACTAGCCGAAAAGTTCCAGAGTAACTTATTAACTAGTTACTTTATTCTTCCTCTGGTTTAAAAGTTCCACCGGAACAAAGTGACTAGTTGAAAAGTTCCAACGGAACATATCAACTAGTTAGAAAGTTCCTTTTTGCCAAATTAGTCAAAACCGGAACTAACAAACTAGCACAAAAGTTTCAACAGAACTTACCAACCAGGCAGAAAGTTCCATTTGGAGAATTGATGCAAAGTAAAAGCGCAACATATTATATTTTAACCTTTCAAAGGGAAACCAAGATACTGATTACAAAAGTCAAATGGAACTTATCAACTAGCCGCAAAGTTCCTCTTTGGCAAATAAGTCAAAACCGGAACTAACAAACTAGCCCAAAAGTTCCAACGGCACTTATCAACCAGTCACAAAGTTCCATTTGGAGAATTGATGCAAAGTAAAAGCGCGACATATTATCTTTGAACCTTTTCAAAGGGGAACAAAGATACTAGCCACAAAAGTCAAACGGAACTTATCAACTAGTCACAAAGTTCCTCTTTGTTAGGGTTAGGTTAGATTAGGGTTAGGGTTAACTATTCAACTAGCTACATTGTTCTGGGACTTTTCAACTAGCTACTTTTTTCCAGAACTTTTCGAATGCACTGGAATTAAAACAACTATTTGGAAAGTTCCATTGGAACGAAATAACTAGTTGAAAAGTTCGGCCGAAACAAAGTAACTGACGGAACAAAGTGGCTGTTACACATACATGTACCACAGGGATATTCAAACTGAATGGGTCACTGTTGTCCAGGGTACCAAGTTGTTGAGGGTGTTTTGGTAAACATCTAATCGTTAACAAGTACTCAGATTAAATATCATGTAATTTTTTTCTGAATCTTTTTGTAAGCTGATGATGCTGATCACGCACTACTTGCATCCTCATCATCATGACTGTGAGTCATAACAAAAGTAAACGAAAAAGATTTAATTCTTACCTAGAATCAATAGTTACTTATAAATACGTCAAAATTCTCAATGATCTGGGTTCTTCCTTCCAACCTACCCTGGGCTACAAATCAATGTGGGTACCATTGGATCAAGTAAAAGTACCCAGGGTACATGTTCTTTCTAATGCAAGTTATGGTACCCAGGATGACAATGACCTGTATAACAATATTCAAACTCACAAGTCAAAGAAAAGTTATTTCTTGGCAACAACACCATTCCAGTTAATCTGCCTGTTTGATAAGTTTGTCCTTCATATGCATCTGTTTATGTTTTTTTTTTTTTTGGTTTATAGTGTTAAAAGGTTTCTACTATAGTATAGATCAATTTCAAAGGTTTTTATTTCAGGTCCCTTATGGTCATATACATGTAGCTTTTCACCAGTTTTGGTATTTATACATCCTTGGATTTGATCGTTCTTGATGAAGGTAAAACCCAGAAAAAACATGTTGGACGCATGAAATTTATAAAGGGATATTTTATTTTTTTCAATAAATAAGTACCAGCCTATTACACCAAAGACATACAAAATACAAATATGACAGAGAAGTAATGCAATTTGAATTTCTCTTATATTTGAATTGTTAATTTCAGTGTTTGAGCAGTACCAGAAAGCAAGAACTCAGTTTGTACAGACTGTTGCTGAACTTGCAAGTCGACCACAGAATATTGAGACATTACAAAATGCAGGTGTCATGTCACTACTGCGACCTCTTCTGTTGGACATTGTACCCACTATCCAACAAACCGCTGCACTGGCCCTTGGTAGACTTGCCAATTACAATGATGACCTTGCAGAAGCAGTAGTCAAAGGAGACATTCTTCCACAGTTGGTCTATTCCCTTGCTGAACAAAATGTAAGTTGAAAGTTCTGGGGAATATCAGATGAAACAGAAGGAAATATGAAGTATATGTATAGGAGAAATATATATCATTCTGTGTAAGAGTAAGGGGTACAGGAAAATCAATATAAATACACATATAAATTTTTAATGATATGAAATTTTTTTGGCTTTATTTACTTGTACTTGATTCCTAATTTATGGTCTTTTCTTAAGGCTCATCAAATTTTTTTTTAGAATTTTACTTTATTGCAAACTTTTATCTTTCACATTATATTTACCATTGAAAAAAGTTCCTAAACTTGATGATTTGTACTTGAAATTGTTGGGTCTTAAATGCAACTTTCTTCTGTGTCAACATTAAAAAAAAATCTCTTTTACATGTATGATTACAACTGCAGATGTTTAAAAGTTGGCATGTTTCAGCCTATTTTCATTTATCATAGCCAGTGAAGTTCTAAAAAAAAATACTGTGTACTAATTTGTCTGGTAAAATAGTCATTACATGGATATGAAACCATTAGAGGGAAAATAAGAGTATAGTGAAATGAAACAAAATCCTGTTATAAGTTTAATGTTCTCACTATCAGAAAAAGCACATTAGAAATTTATATAGTTTGTGGATAGCAATGAAAGAAATCAATAATAATTTTATCAAACTAAAAATTACTCTTCAATTTATATTAGGTAGATATACATTGTGTCTGTATGCAAAAGAAAACCTAGTGGTTGTACCATTGAATAATTCTTTTAATTTCTTTATATAATTATATAATATATATAAGGGTAAATCTGATTATAGATCCATATACATGTGTCTGTTGTGAACTGTCCAATATCTGTTTGTAGTTATTCCTGTCATCCAATTTTGTATTATTAAGAATAAAAGATCATGATTTTAACATAAATCTTTTGTTTATTTTTTTTACAGAGGTTTTACAAGAAAGCAGCTGCGTTTGTATTAAGAGCTGTAGCCAAACATTCTCCACAGCTAGCTCAATCTGTGGTAGATTCAGGAGCACTGGATGCCTTAGTTATTTGTCTAGAAGAGTTTGATCCTGGTGTGAAAGAGGCTGCAGCCTGGGCATTAGGTTATATTGCTAGACATAATGCTGGTAGGTTACATATACAAATATTTTATTTATAATATGCATGAATGGATTTTCACATTGTATCATTCGGTTCTATTTAATGAATGACCTCAGGCAATGACATTTAAATTTGTACAACCCTATTATTAATTTATGAAAACCATATTATTTGAATTAACCATGTAATATGCTGTTTAAAACTAAGGTGAATACCACAAAAAATTGATGTTGGTTCGAACAATACACTTACAGTAGTCTGCTTTTAAAAATGAAATTATCTGTACCAACTACCATGTCCATCAAATCTTTTATAAATGAGGCCTTGATGTTATTGTATCCATACAAGAATATTGGAGATTTGCTCATTAAATATGAATAACGTCTATAATCTAGCTTCACCTACCTTTATATCAACTTCTCTTATTATACAGAGCGAAAAGATGCAATATAAAGATTTTTTAACAATATGAACATAATTATTTCAGAACTTGCCCAGGCAGTAGTTGATGCTGGTGCTGTTCCTCTATTGGTTCTATGTATACAAGAACCTGAGCTTTCTCTGAAGAGAATTGCTGCTTCAGCTCTCAGTGACATCTGTAAACACTCTCCAGAGCTGGCTCAAACTGTAGTGGATGCTGGGGCTATTGCACATCTGGCTCAAATGATCCTGAACCCTGATGCTAAACTCAAGGTATGATTGTGAAAAAGATTAAATTTTAATTCAAGGTTCATTTGAAAAAATGGCCTAAATGCAAAACAAGTGTGGGTTGACTTTCAGGAAACCATTGCTTATGTGTATGAATCTTTAAAGATTATTGATGTTCTATGACTACTACAGAGGTGAAAAATAAACCAAATAAAGAGGGAAAAGGTAACATTGGGCATTCTTTGGGATATTTGAAGTTGTAGGATATTTTTCAAGATATTTCATATGTAAATATATCTATTTACAACAAATAATTTGGTTATACAGTAAAAGATATGTGGACTTTGTAATTGTACATTATATGATGGCATTTTCAAATGTAAGCTTTTTTTTATTTGACAGAGACAAGTATTCTCAGCACTTAGTCAAATATCTAAACACTCAGTAGACTTAGCTGAAATGGTTGTTGAGGCAGAAATCTTCCCAGCAGTACTGACATGTCTGAAAGATCCTGATGAATATGTTAAGAAAAATGTTGCAACACTGATTAGAGAAATTGCTAAACACACACCAGAGGTTAGTAGAAACAAATATTCCATACAAGTAATAGTGAGTACAAATTGGAGCAGAAATTAATTCATTTAGAGAGTGTAAAGAAGTAGATGAAATTCAAATAATATAAATGAAAGTAGATGTAGGGTTTGTGTTGATCAGACAGCAACACATGCAACTACAACATAAAACTCTTGAAGACATAAAGGTTGACACAGTCTTCAGTAATAGTTTCCATTCCATATATTAAAACAAATCAAGACAAATTGTAACTCTAACAGAGAGCCAAAGATTTTCTGCCATCAACATCAAATTCCTTAATAGAAAATAAAGAAGAAAAATACACCACTAAAATATGAACACTGTCCACTGAGGATATTTGTATAGTCCGATTGAATGCGGATGAGTCAAACTGACTTTGTGATTACTCAAACCTATATTATCTTGATCAACAGAATAACAAAATATACACTAATACAGAGAGAATACACAATTAAAATCAGATCGAGAAAATCTCATTTCAATTTAAACAGTATTACAGATGACAATAAAACTATATGTATAACAGCATTCATCATAACAAAAGAATAATCTCAGATACTGCAAGTCTTTTCTCTAACCATTCATTAATAAATGTGATAAAGTTAAATGATTTAAGATTATAAAAACTGTTTTTTCAAGTTTGAAGAAGATTGAATGAATTTCACATACATGTGAGATTTGCCAGAAATAATGATGCATGATAAATAAGCTTGTTTCAACCCTTATTTATAAGTCTCCATAATTGTTTTCTTATTTCAAAAGGCTTTAAATATTTGTTTCTCAACAAAACCAGCATTTTAGGAAACTACCACATATGTAGACTCACATTAGAGTCTCCTCTATTGTGTAAAAAGTAATTCAGTTATTCTCCAAATTAACTCCCTTTAATTTCTCTGTGTTTTCTTTTCATAGCTTGCCCAGTTGATTGTGAATGCTGGAGGAGTTGCTGCAGTTGTTGATTATGTAGGAGAATCTAAAGGAAATGTTCGATTACCAGGAATTATGATGTTAGGTTATGTAGCAGCACATTCAGAAAATCTAGCCAGAGCAGTTATTGTTTCAAAGGTATATATTTTTTTTATATTAAGTCAAAAACATATATTTTTGAAGGAAAATTACATGTGTTCACTGTCACATGATGAACAAAATATGTTCACTAAGGATTTGTTTCTTTTTACCTTGATGCATAGTGACACTAATAATGCTTTAATAATAGAAAATTGTGAAAAAAAAAACTTTAGAGTAAGAGATGAAAAATAGGGTAAGTCAACTGATCATAAACTCACATACTTTTTATTTTTGGTTTTTTTTCGGCAAAAGACCGTTATTGTCTTATTGCATTAAATTCTATTCTTTTGATAAGATGAATTTTAATTTCAACCTCTAATTTAAAATAAGTGTAGAATATTTTATTACATAGACACATTTTATGTAAAAGAAAGTTGTCAAAGTTTTGAGATTTTATGAAAATATACATATCCTAATTTAAGTTCCAAAAAATAATTAGTCTATAAAGCATGATTTAGTTAAGTGTATGGCAAAGATAATGTTTTTAGGCTTTGAATAATTTTAGAAGAGAGACTCATATTCAAATTGACCTTTAACATCCTTAATTTAGGGGGTAACACAGCTAGCTATAGCACTATCTGAGGAACCTGAGGACCATATACAGGCAGCAGCAGCATGGGCTTTAGGACAGATTGGTCGACACACACCTGAACATGCTAAGGCAGTAGCACATGCCAATGTATTACCGAAATTGTTACAATGTTATTTAAGAGCAGATGCATCAGAGGACCTACAGACAAAGGTAATTATTTTTATCTTTCATGGTATTGTTATTTTTCCAAAGTTTTAGGAGTTATTTAGTTATTAAAGTCTGTGTTATAATTAAGGTACATGTAGATCAGGGATCTTTTTCTGTGCATCCCTTCAGCACATGTTGAAAAATGCTATTTTGGTTTAAAAATATTTTACCAAGTATCATTCAATATACATCAGAAACATCTAAAACTTGAAATTTAAAGATTAACTATCAAAAAATTGAGTGTCATTAACAGATTTAAAATTTTCAGAAAAAAAAACATTTTGAAAACAAGGGCTGATAATTATATTGAATTTGATTGGACATTTTTTTTGGGGTGGGGGGGGGGTTAAGAAAATTAAGCCTGTGACCACACATTTTTATTTGATATTTCAGAAGTATTTATGGAAAGCAATTCTCTCATAGAAGCTCAACTAATTTTACCATTTTATGTTTCCTCAATAAGGCAAAATAAATTACCCTATTTAACCAATATTAAATAACTGATCTCGTTAATTTCAATGTATTTTAACAAAAAAACAAGATCCGTGACTCAAAATTTTTTTATTGAAATTTGAAAGTAGAAATGTACATTGACCCATATGTCTTTTAACACCCCAGCTACCTTAAGTAGATTTACTATGGTTTTGAATGTTTGTTTGAATATATCTTTTTGGAAGTTCTCTCCTTTTTATAATATTTCATAACTCAAATCTTGAAATATTAAAAAAAATTAAATAATGATAATATCAAAATAAAAACCTGTTTATGAAGACTAATAAGAGACAACACATCAATGGTTAAATTTTCATAAAATTCTTATTTTTGTCATTGCAGAGCAAAAAAGCACTGAAAAACATTCTTCAGAAATGTGTACATTTACCAGCACTGGAACCATTACTGCACGATGCTCCACCAAATATACTGAAACATGTTGTTGGACAGTTTAGTAAAGTATTACCACATGATTCTAAAGCTAGAAAATTATTTGTTACAAGTGGAGGACTTAAGAAAGTACAAGAAATTAAAGCTGAACCTGGATCAGCACTTGCTGAATATGTTAACACAATCAATAACTGTTATCCAGAAGAAATTGTTAAGTAAGTAATCATTATTACTATATGGTCAGACATGTTCATGTATAGAATAACAGTTCTAAAGCATGAACAATTCACATGAAAACCAAATTTATTATTGGTCAGTTATATAAGTATTTTTGTAAAAAGCTTTTTAAGAATTTTTTTAGCTGTTTTGAATCCCCTATGAAGTTAATTAGATAAATCTGATTTCAAGTTTTCTGAATCAATGTAATGGAACAGAAGGGATACAGTGTATTAGTTCATGACACAAAATCACTTCATGAACTTGAATAAAAGTCAAAGCAAAATAATAGCGTTTTTTTATCTGAAAGCAATGAGACCTTCAATATGGTGTTAAAGCTCATAACTAACTGTAGGTTAAGGTATTCAATTATGAAATTAAATTTCACATTTAAAAAGCTTAGGAATGAATATTAATAGAATTGAATCCTTGAAAGGAAATTGGTGCCAGATAAATGACTATTTTTTCAAAGAATATTATATAACACTACAAAAAAACAATAAAAAAATAATAATGCAGGTGATTAGACAAAACAGGGTCTGTAATAGAAAAAGCTGTCTATCTCTACACTAGCAAATAAATACCTCCATACATAAACACTTCTATAAACTTTATCCTTGATATATCATAAATATAGACTTTTAGAGAGATACAAATGACACAAAGTCCTTCTTGTGGTATAAATTTAGGCTTTTCAATTAGTATAATTTATTCTTAAACAAGTAGCAATAATCTACCACAAATGCTATTTTTTTTATCTTAATGATATTTTGTTTTTCAAATTGAGATAACTAATTACTTGCTTTTTATTTTTCAGATATTACTCCCCAGGATATTCTGAAAGTCTTTTGGATAGAGTGGACCAATATCAGCCACACTAAACAGACATTTATCAAATTACATTATTTTCATCATTTCAAATATTCATTTTCATCCTGTGCATGTATACAAATGACAAAAGCAAGGAAAGACAAACTATCTATGTATCAAAGAAATGTTTAAATTGTTGCTTAAATGTGTAGTGTTTATAATTGAACATGTTAAGACAACTCAAAGCTACTAAAAAGAAAAAGCTCATGAAGTTTATCATCATGAAAACAGATATTTAAAATCAAAAGTTCTAAGTGAAAAAAGAAATTTATTAACCATTATACCAGTCCTTGGCATATATAGACATAAAGATTAAATGGAAAAGCCTTAAATAATTAGTCTTGTAAGAAAATATAGGTAACTGTACATTCACAGGTTTTATACTGGGGTCTTGGGTGGAAAGGGAAAAGGGATAGTATTTTTTAATGTATTTGCTACAAGGGTAAATGAAATTGGATGGAAACTGCTCACTGCATTCATGATTTTTCGTTACCATCAAATTTTTTGACCATGAGTGCAGAATTTAGCAGTAGATGGTGCTAAATTAAATAGTTGCTATCATTTGATAATTTATGAAAAAAAGCAGGGCACATAACAAGGTCTTGACATGCTACAACCATTGCCAATTGTTAAGGCTACAGAAATATTGTCAACTAGAAGTGTTTATATAATGTTTTATTGAAGTAATGCATTGGTATATGTTTAGATCGTTAATTCCAATTCATTTGAATTAAGTCTGTGAAAGAAAAGAAAAAACAATCTTATCCTAATAATTGACTCCATTTTAAAAAGGAACATCAAGTTTTTTGGAATTGTACTTGATCAAACCAAAAGTTGAAAACTAATACATGTATTGTAATATGACAAAATGAGACTCGATGGAATCATGTTTTTATATCTTTTTAAAAATTTTAGTGATGTTGTTTGGAGATGATGATTGATTATTTATTTATATATTGTAAGTACTATCAGCAAACAAAGTGACTGTTATTTGTTGAATATTTTATATTATACCTGAAAGAATAACTTATTAAATTAAAATTACAAATTTTTAATTCTAGATTAGTTATTTATCAAAAGATAGTCAGGGTTAAAGTGATATATTTTAATGGTTCTATTTTTTATGTTTTGTGTTATATACAGTGAGCCATGACTTTAGATGCTACATTTGTAATTATCTAATGATAAATGGATTGAGACTGTGGTCAACATTAATGAATGACTTAAATACACCACTACATCAGAAAACAACTAGAAAATTTTTAACAAAAATACCAAACTCCAAGGTATATTCAAAAAGGGGGAAGTCCATAAAAACTGACAAAATCAAACTGTAGTCTTTATCAACCAACAGAACGAATGGAAAACAACTGCTTTATTCTCGACTTGGTACACCTAGCATTTTCAGGAAGAAAATAGTGGGTTAAACCTGGGTTTATAGCTGGCTAAACCTCCCACTTGTATGACATTTGTTGATAGTTCCTTTATATTGACACAATTGGGTGAGCATCCCAAGCTTAAAGAAAACAATGCATAACCATAAACACAGTAGAGTAACCTGATGGCTTCACTTTTAACAATTTAAAATAATTTTAGTGGGATTAAATTATTTTTGAGCCCAAATCTCAATCTTGACAAATGAACTGTGTCCCTTTTTTTCTTTTTGTTACACATACAAAGTTGTTTGCATGTCAAGATTTTACATTTACAACACTAAACAAGCAGTTACTATTGGATCAAAGTCATCAAACCCAGTTTTTACCAGAGATTATAATGTGAAAACAGAGTTGATGCATTCACAAACTGAATAAAAGTCAGAATAACATTTAAACATTTTTTTTTAATTTTCCCTTTCTTGAAGCCCCAGGATTCCATTCTTGAGTATCACATCATCTCTGTAAAAGAAAAATCATTAATGAAATTTTTTCCCTTCAAAATTAATTTTATTGTTTTTTAATTCTGTGCCCAGTTCTGTGTATCATAGTTTTAAATGTATGGCTTTGGTGGTTCCTGTTGAAGGTATATCCAGGAAAGTGCTTCAGACGCATGAAATTTTTAAAGTGTTGTTTTCTTTTTTTAAACAGTTTCCAAAGTGGTTGACATTTTGGAAAATATTTTTCTTTTATACAAAGTTTATTATTATCCAACTATGAATATCTGGTGCCAATCCTTGGATCCATCTCATTGTTTGGTGCCATGTCAGTTAGAAAATATTCCTAGGATTTATGTAATTGTCTGGTGCCATGTCAGTTAGATGACATTCCTAGGATTCATGTCATTGTCTGGTGCGATGACAGTTAGATGAAATTCCTAGGATTCGTGTCATTGTCTGGTGCCATGTCAGTTAGATGACATTCCTAGGATTCATGTCATTGTCTGTTGCCATGTCAGTTAGATAACATTCTTAGGATTCATGGCTTTGTCTGGTGCCATGTCAGTTACATGTCATTCCTATGATCCGTGTCATTTTCTGGTGCCATGTCAGTTAGATGACGTTCATAGGCTTCATTTCATTGTCTGGTGCCATGTCAGTTAGATGACATTCCTATGATTCATGTCATTGTCTTGTGCCGTGTCAGTTAGATGTAATTCCTAGGATTCATGTCTTTGTCTGGTGCCGTGTCAGTTAGATGTCATTCCTGGGATTCATGTCATTGTCTGGTGCCATGTTAGTTAGATGACATTCCTAGGATTCATGTCATTATCTGGAGCCATGTCAGTTACAAAACACTCCTAGGATTCATGTACTTGTCTGGTGCCATGTCAGTTAGATGACATTCCTAGGATTCATATCATTGTCTGATGCCATGTCAGTTAGATGACATTCCTAGGATTCATGTCATTGTCTGGTGCCGTGTCAGATAGATGTCATTCCTAGGATTCATGTCTTTGTCTAGTGCCATGTCAGTTAGATGACATTCCTAGGAATCATGTCATTGTCTGGTGCCATGTCAGTTAGATGACATTCCTAGGATTCATATCATTGTCTGGTGCCATGTCAGTTAGATGACATTCCTAGGATTCATGTCATTGTCTGGTGCCATGTCACCTAGATGTCATTCCCCAGGATTAATGTCATTGTCTGGTGCCATGTCAGTTAGATGACATTCCTAGGATTCATGTCATTGTCTGGTGCCGTGTCAGATATATGTCATTCCTAGGATTCCTGTCTTGGACTGGTGCCATGTCAGGAAGATGACATTCCTAGGATTCATGTCATTGTCTGGTGCCATGTCATATAGATGAAATTCCTAGGGTTCATGTCATTGTCTGGTGCCGTGTCAGTTAGATGTCATTCTTAGGATTCATGTCTTTGTCTGGTGCCGTGTCACTCCTAGGATTCATGTCTATGTCTATTGCCATGTTAGTTAAATAAATACCAAATTAATATGTATTTGAATTACCAAAATTGTTGGATAGTTCGACAGACCTTACCAACAGCTAAACTGGCTTAGGAGAGACAAATGGGGAAGGGGTTAATATAATAAAAGATGCAAGGTTTTGTCTATCAATACTAAATGACGTAAATTTAAAGTAAAACACAATAAAATACACTTGAAGCTACTATCAATATGACCGCTGACATGAACAAGGAAATAAAAAGACAGCACATTTTTTGGAAACCAGAGTTTACGTTGCTATCATATATATCTAGTTCAGTTCGGTAGCCACAGCTATTGGTTGAATAGTGTCCTTTATGATCAAGAAAACAATTACAAGAGGCTCCCAGAAGCCTTGATTGCTCACCTATATTGCTTTGCCCATAGCAAAAATAGTCTTTTCATGAGAATCAAACAACATATGAAACATCTTGCAAGTTTGGTTTCAATTGGTTCAGGGATCTTAGAGAAGAACATCTTTGAATGTTAGATCAATTGGTCCCCATGTTGACCCCTTGAAGCATTATTTGACTTTCTATCCGGACCAAATAAACAATACTTAGAAATTACCTTCTATAATGAACATATCTGCTTGGTTTGTTTTCATTTCACTTTATCCGTTCTTGGATCTTTGCCAATAGTTACAACTCTACCCCTACTCTTCAAGGAAATACTGTTCTTGAAAAGTAAGGCAACATGTATTATCCCATTGGGTTTCTATCAATTATAACCTCCACTGGTTGCCACTTTCAATTTAGGGCTTCCCTATTTTGAAATTATAGTTTTGCTATACTATGATTATGTTAAATAAGGCTTCTTTATCTAACTTCTTATTATTTATTGACGCTATTGGTCGTATTAAGTGTACTGCTTCAGTGCTTCCTGCATTAAGTTGTAGTTCTTTCTTATTTAACCCTTCTATCTCTTTTAGTTTTGTTAGACGAGATCATAGGTGTTGCTTTAAATCTATTAATTAACTTTATGTGATCGTTGAAGTAATTTTCAAACATGTTAGTCTATGTTAAATGCAAGTTGTATACGTCTGTAGCCTCTACCTTTGTTTGCCAGAAGGGCTGGGTAGTGCCTACCTTGGTTTTTATAATTGAAGTTTATCACCTTTTTTTTTCTTCGATCTTTTCTATTGCCCTTGTAATTGAGTAATATGTACACTTTATGAGAAGGACTGTACTTGAAGGTTTAATGCTTTTTAAGTTTTTCGATATTGAGATAATGTATATTCAATATTCTGGTATGGGTATTCCTTGATTTTTATCGTTCGGTTCGTCTTTTTTGTTATTAACAGGTGCCTAGCCAGATTGAGAATTCAAACACACCTACTCCGTATAACTTATTAGGGTATGGATGGGGGTCCTTCATTTATGTATTCTCTAATTTATTCGCTCATTATTCTTTATCTTTAAAAATAATGGCTATTCTGTAATTACTTAACTGTATTCTGGACATTGTTCTTTTATGAAATCAGTATATTTTGACCCCATTCTTTAATTTTTTGCAGTTATTCTGTATATTTTAGCACCCCGTTATTCTCTATTCTTTTTTTTTTAACCGTTATATTCTCTATTCTGTATACCCCATCCACACCCTCCGTTATGATAACTCACTAGCATTTCAATTAACTCATATATTTTGTTTTCTATTACAAATATGAAGTTTGAATAATTCTATTATATCAACATTTAACACCAAAATATAAAAATGATGAAATCTGCGAGATGATAGATCATTTGCTATTTCTGTATATACATTTAAAAGGACAAATAAACTCATCAAAGATACCAGAATTAAAATTTTGTACGCCAGACGAGCGTTGGACTTTCGTCTACAAAAAACACCAGCGACTCTCGAATCCAAAAAAGTTAAAAAGGCCAAATACAGTACAGGGTTGAAGAGCATTGAGAACCCAATATTCCAAGAGGTTTTGCCAAATAAAGCTAAGGTAATCTATTCCTGAGGTAGAAAATCCTTAGTATTTCGAAAAAAAAAATCAAAGTTTTGAAAACACTTTATTTATAAATGTGATCATATAAATGATAATGAAGTGCTAACTACTGGGGTGGTGATACCCTCGGGGAGTAAAACCTTCAACAAAGGGACATTTAAAACTTATAAGTTGAAGAAACGAAACAACGCCATACCAAAAAAAAAAAACAACGAAATGACGAACAAGTCGACAAAACCCTAATAAAAACTTAAGACCGAGCAACACGATCGCCACCTGGGTTTAACTCATGTGCTCCGGAAGGGTAAGAAGTACAAGCTCCACATCGGGCACCAGTCGTATACCCGACATTCTCTTCGCGATAAGATCGTTATCTTGTTATAGAATTTGATCATCAAAATACTGTTGCCCAAAGAGAGATGCAAATTAATGCGTTTAACTGATCAGTCCCTTATCTTTACGAGGGCCTTAGTGGCCGAGTGCAAGTGGTCGAAGTATAGTTCAGTGGTGGATCCAGAGGAGGTGGGGGTTCCGGGGGTTGGAACCCCCTTTTTTTTGGACGATAAATGCATTTGAATGGGGACATATAGTTGGAACCCCCCCCCCCTTTATCCTTGGTTAAGAACCCCCTTTTTAAAATGGCTGGATCCGCCCCTGTAGTTTATTTAATGCATCACTGGCATGTCAACACTGAGGTTATGAGCTTGAAACGCGC